TTTTGAAACTATGTGCTCACCAATAATTGGCTTAATGAAGTAATTCTCGGAGTTCTAGTAAGAAACCATATCAGGTAGAGACAAATATCTACCTCAGTACATTATATAATTTTTTGGTTTATCTGAATTTAAACATTAACACCGTTGAATGTTGTCCAGATCAGTGGCCTACAAGTTAACTGTTCGTGAACAAGACCCAAGATACTGCGCTCGAGTCTCATATGTGGGATCATAGATGTACATTGTTGAGGAACGTCACACGAAGACAAAATGACCGTCTAGTGTTTCCAGGTTTTCAACAGTGATCTAACATTCATCAATCCATGATCTCAATAAAAAAAATAACTTAATAAACTCCACAACCACACACTAAGTTATTATTGAGAAGATTATAAATAATAAATTGACCTGTTTGTTTATATCCTCCGATTGCATTAAGTATAATGAATTAAACTGTTCAATTTGTAATGGTTGACATAAACAAAAGCATTGAAATAGACTATCTCTATTATTAATAATAATAATAATACTAATAGTACTAATCTCAATGATATCATTTAGGTAAAGTTATTGTGAATTAGTTAAGTATAGGACATATACATATATATGAATGAAATGTGTCATTAAAACTACTTCTTATACTAACTGTTATTGACAGTTAGATTAAAATGATATGAATAGAATAAAACACCTTAAATATTCACTATTTATAAACTAGATTTGACTATAAGCAAAGATGGATAGTGGCTAGCAGTGGAATCCAGGACGCGCGTTTCGTCCTGTTTGGGACTCGTCAGCTGGATGTATCTGCATCTCAGAGTTGATGTTCACTCCATCTTTGTTTATAATGCTTGTAAATTAAGGCAATATCGAGGCATACGCATAGTATGCACATATGCTAATAAGAGACTGATCAATTTCAGTCCTAAAACATCAATGGGAAGATTCAAGTAAAACAATATCAAGTGAATTAGATTTGACTATGTTTGTCGATTTGTAGTGTAAACAATAAGATTTTCTGATTAGTATTGAGAAAACATTGATGAGAAAAGTAACCAACTACATCACAATGCAAGCTCTCATATGGAATGCTCAAGGTTAATGGAGAGGTGGAAGACCAAGGAATATACTACGACATGAAATGGAGACAGACATGAAAAGAATGAATAACAATTCGATAGGACTAGAAAGGTACACAGAGTGAGTTGAAGAATGCTGGTCGTCGGCATGTACTCCTCCATTGTAAGTAACAGGCGTAAGTAAGCAAGTAAGTAGGTAAGTAAGTAAGTAAGTGAGTAAGTAAAATAAAGTAAGCAATACGGTTTAGATACCAGGGGTTTGTAATGTTTAGTTATCCTCTTCAATGATGACGAAGATCAACATGAAAATTGGCTTGGATTGTATTAATTGTGCTAACTTGTGACTAATTTCAAGATAGATTTTCTGTAGTTCTAGTGAGAATCGATGACCATTGTAGTTCAATCTGTGTTAGATGTGAGACATTTATCTACATCACTCAATGGATGAAAGGTTACGCAAGGTCATGGATCGATTAAAGTTAAACATTAACACCGTTGAATGCTGGTTCAGTGGTCTAAAGGTTAAACGTTCGCACGCGAGACAAAATGTTCTTGAGTCGATTTCCATGTACGAGATCGTGGATGTGCCTAATTGAGGAGTCTCATACTACGACGAAACGGCTATCTAGCTTAGCTTATCTTATGAATTCAACTATTAAAAACATACTGATGGCTGATACTTTCTTAGTTATGTATTAATATACAATTCTTGTGCCTACTGGTTACTTAGGTTTTTTTTGTAGAGTAGTTTAATGTAACAGGAAGTTTCTATTTGGATTTGTTTGGAGTAAAGACCTGCTAAAAACTTTAGACAAATGTTTAATCTTCAGTTGTATGATCAAGGGGCCCAAGATCAAGTTATGAATGACAAGTATCAAGTACCGTACATAATACCTATTTAGACAGTATCATTAGGTGACAAAGTTTCTGTAAATCACACTTACATTCATCAAGTTTTCAATTAAATACTGTTTATGTATAGTAAAGTATGCATCAGAATTTACTGTGATAACATTTGGAAATATCAGGATTGAAATAAAAGACACCTTTGAAATTGGCTCATAGTCATTACTTGTTAAAAATAAGATAGATGAATTTCAACTAAATTGTATGAGCTAATGTTAACTGGTCAGAGCTTGTTAAAAAGAAATCTTGGGTTTCGGTTATATATTAGTTACTAATCGTCAGTATATTGTAACTACAATTAGTGATCACACTGTGAATTGACAGACATGATTTCGTTGACACTCACATTATTTATTTAAACACGTAAACATTGATACAAGAAAGCACCAAATAGATATGTGGCACATATATTATTCGATTTCTGTCAGGGATATGATACTGACCACGTGCCCAAATCGAACAAGGTGATTTACTTAGCAGGCCACACTCGGAGCCATCAACCTAGAAGTCTAATCCACAAAGTAGTGTAGTGAAGCAACGTCAGGAGATGCAGTCACATGGTTGCCTGTGACCAACAATTCGTTCATACACTATTTGTTTCTTCAGGATTTCATAATCCATGTGTACGATTTGTATGGAATGAGGGTTTTCCAACTCCCCTAGGTCGACTGTCTGTGTCCAGCGACCCGATTAAAGCACGGGATATTCGTTTTACGTCCTCTCAATTTGTTAAACAACACCGTGGATGAGAGAAGGTAGTTGGTAAGATTCCCCTGTCAGTAATTGTATGCATGTGGTCATGTGAGAGCATTTTGAGAGAGGTAGCTAACTCTCCTCACTCTCGGCCGTACCAGGGTATTCGGGCGCCACGACTAGACGAATATGAAATTATTCACAATAAAGTAATCAATCAATATAAATATTCAAGTCCTAATTGAAGCTGAACGCAGAAATATCAATCCATCTGACACGAGTTTTAATCTCATGTGAATCATTAATTTCATCAAGAATACACATGTACCATGCTGACAAGTGACAATCAACACAAAACCTATATCTGGGGTTTACAACAATCTATGTCGAAATGACTTGCATCAGTACGTAATGTATCCTAAGTCAAATCACTTAGATTAGTGGCTGTATTCCATTTTGACTGACAGAATTCAATCAGGATTAATGATTAGATAAACAAAACATTGGCTACCACGAAGAACTGGTTATTGTAAATGGTCTGAACCGTTTGTATTAGCTGTAGAACCGTCACTTATAGATTACAGAAACTTGTTAAGATATGTTTTTTCTTATATATTTACTAGCGGAGTTGTTTAGGAAAATAAAAAACGGTTCAGACAACGAAATAGCCCATGGAATCCTCTTTCTGAGCTATAATTCCTCATTATTATTTCACAACTTTACTTTCCTTAACTAATTTTGGCTAAGACTATTGAATACATACTATTTTATCCCATTTATATCGTGATCTGTTTTCGATTAAGCGTAACCGGAATAATCTAAGCTAAATATATTCTCTGTTGTACATCGGTATTATCTATAGGATTTTTGTGGCCCGGTATCTGACTCCAGTTATATCAGACAAATATTACTTCAGGATTGGGTGGCATCAACACCCGAACTAATGATAGGGAGTGAAGTAGATGAGCGTGTCGACCGCTTCACTTATCTTGGGAGTCTCATCAGCCTTTGTGGTCTGATGTGTAACGAAATCTCAGCACGAATACAAAAGGCTCGACTAGCTTTCGCCAACTTGCGTCATTTATGGCTTAGATGAGATATGTGTCTACCAACCAAAGGTCGGGTTTACTGCGCTGCAATTCGTTCCGTCCTACTTTATGGCAGTGAAACATGGCCGGTAAGAGTAGAGGATATTCGTAGATAACTAGTATTCGATCATAGATGTCTTCGAAACATTGCTCGTATATCCTGGGACCACCGAGTAAGTAATGCAGTTGTTAGGAAATGAGTACTAGGTAAGGATGGAAAATAAATTGATGAAGTAATGAAACTTCATATCTTGAGATGGCTGGGACACGTGTCACGTATGCCCGACCACCGACTGCCTCGACGTGGGATGTTCAATGGTGTAGGAGTAGGTTGGAGGAAAGCTAGGGGCGGCCAGGCCAATACATATCAGAAGTCCATGAAGTCACTGAAAAGTGAACTGAGGCATATTGGTAGATGTAGACTACGTGGTTGGGGTCCAAGAGATTATAGGAACCGATGGTTAGAGACCCTGAATGACAGGGTTAAAAATCGTCTGCAATAACGCAGGTGCATTCACTCTTTGTGTTCTCCCAAATTCTAATTTTCTGAATTCTTCGTTTGCCTTTTTTCTCTTTCCAAATTTATTTCACGGTATTATACTCGTTGAATAACATCTTCAAACCCTAATCTTTCCGATTATTGCTTATACTCTTACTACCACTTCCACTACGGGATTTGAATCGACAATTGCATCTCTGTGCTGATGTGGTATGGCAACTCGAACTGACGTACGTACGTACGAAGTTCTACGTTGTTACTGACTGAGATCGGACAAATGATCGTTATCGAATGATTGCTTTTGAACTAGACATCTTGATTATTCTCATATATTATTGTTGAATTAAGTCGCGTTAGTGAAGAACGGACTGGACCGACCTTCTCCTTTAGGACTTATCAGAATCATCACTTCTAATTTTGTCACAGAGTGAACACTTGTATTTTAGGCTACCCAGGATAGTATGTTAGATTTTAAATAGCTTAATGATGTATACTTTACGAGATACTAACTTTATTTGATTCGTAATACTATACAACTATGACTTCGTACTATTTCGCTTCTAATGTAATTTCAACTTCATTTGCATACAGATTCTTCTTGGAACTTTGAGAAAAATTCCACAACATAAAATGTTTCCAATTGGACTGTCACAAGTATCATCGACTTCATTATAAGAAAAGCATAAATAAAAGATCATTTCATGAATGTAAGATGATGAAAAGAATAAAAATTACCGTATTCAATTGTCGTTTTGATGTTAAATCTGTAAATGGATTTTCAATTGAAGGATTTGTTTGCCAATTACTTTTTGATTTTAAACTAGTTTTATTCCACATAGCATCAAGTAATGGTTCACGCCATCTTGCTTGAAGGAATATATCTGCTTGATATCGTTCATTCACTGTATCGACTTGACCAACTTTAACAAATATTAAAACTAATTCAACACGAGCCTAAAAATAATCAAAATAAATGGAATCGATGGTTTAATATGTGATGTATATTGACAATGAAAGATATTCGAGAACTAAACTCAATATAACATTTAGGTAACCATTTCAGATTGAACTGAGTTATGGGTGAGTGAAATGACTGAATAAATGGTAAATCATTTAGACACCTATGGTCACCACTGATTAATATCACATCATACTACTTATAAGCAAACATGGATAGTGGTTAGCAGTGGAATACAGGACGCGCGTTTCGTTCTATCCATCTCTGTTTATAATATTTGTAACTTAAGGCAATATCGAGGGATTCCACACAGGATACACATATGATATCAAGAGATTGAACAATTACAATCGTAAACAACAATAGGAAGATACAAGCAAACAATACCACGCGAAAACACATCTATGTTGTTTTTTTTTGTTTGTGAATTATAAGGTTTGAATACTAACAGAATACTCATAAAAATTGGAATTTGACCAAGAGATGATTTCAACTACATATTGGAGATCAAGTTTGTCTAATGGATTTACTCATGAAGTTCATGTTAACTAGTGTATTTCTTGGGAACAGTGGTATGTATTCAATAGTCTTAGCCAAAATTAGTTAAGGAAAGTAAAGTTGTGAAATAATAATGAGGAATTATAGCTCAGAAAGAGGATTCCATGAGCTATTTCGTTGTCTGAACCGTTTTTTATTTTCCTAAACAACTCCGCTAGTAAATATATAAGAAAAAAACATATCTTAACAAGTTTCCGTAATCTATAAGTGACGGTTCTACAGCTAATACAAACGGTTCAGACCATTTACAATAACCAGTTCTTCGTGGTAGCCAATGTTTTGTTTATCTAATCATAAATCCTGATTGAATTCTGTCAGTCAAAATGGAATACAGCCACTAATCTAAGTGATTTGACTTAGGATACATTACGTACTGATGCAAGTCATTTCGACATAGATTGTTGTAAACCCCAGATATAGGTTTTGTGTTGATTGTCACTTGTCAGCAAGGTATATGTGCATTCTTGATGAAATTAATGATTCACATGAGATTAAAACTCGTGTCAGATGGATTGATATTTCTGCGTTCAGCTTCAATTAGGACTTGAATATTTATATTGATTGATTACTTTATTGTGAATAATTTCATATTCGTCTAGTCGTGGCGCCCGAATACCCTGGTACGGCCGAGAGTGAGGAGAGTTAGCTACCTCTCTAAAAATGCTCTCACATGACCACATGCATACCATTTCTGACAGGGGAATCTTACCAACTACCTTCTCTCATCCACGGTGTTGTTTAACAAATTGAGAGGACGTAAAACGAATATCCCGTGTTTTAATCGGGTCGCTGGACACAGACAGTCGACCTAGGGGAGTTGGAAAACCCTCATTCCATACAAATCGTACACATGGATTATGAAATCCTGAAGAAACAAATAGTGTATGAACGAATTGTTGGTCACAGGCAACCATGTGACTGCATCTCCTGACGTTGCTTCACTACACTACTTTGTGGATTAGACTTCTAGGTTGATGGCTCCGAGTGTGGCCTGCTAAGTAAATCACCTTGTTCGATTTGGGCACGTGGTCAGTATCATATCCCTGACAGAAATCGAATAATATATGTGACGCATATCTATTTGGTGCTTTCTTGAATCAATGTTTATGTGTTTAAATAAATAAAACTTAGGAACAATGAGAGTCTTCACTTTACCTCTGTACTCAAGAAGATCAAATAAAACCATTACCATAAAATTTACTGTTTCTATGAACACTAATGTGTGAATATGAATTTAGTTCAACTCATAAGATAACGATATTTTATGCAATCAGTTAAGATTATAGATTACAGTAGCTCAATGAAGATATAAAAGTTTTATGTTACCGCAGACTCACACAAACTTTAATTTGTTTCTTCTTGTTTTAGCTCAATTAACTTAGCCTATCTAAAATAAGATAACGTAAAAGAATATGTTCCTTAGTCAATATTTGTTTAGTATGTTGTCGCCTGGAGTCCCTCCGGGGGCTACTGCCGGTCCCAAGCCCGGATAAAGGAGGAGGGTTAGGCATGGGGTTAGCGTCCCCATCCCGTGAAAAACTAACTCGCTAAAAAAACGCCGACCAGAAAGAAATACGTAAGTAAGTATGTTGTCGCAGTCATCGTCAATCACAACAGAATAACTTAAACACTTTGGGGTGAGACTATAATTTGTGGACGACTTTTGAACGACACTGCTTACTAAGACTAACTGAGGGCTATAAAGCAGTTTGAAGAATACGGAATAATATTTACAACTGATGATATTGAGACGGCTTCTGAGAACTATGACAGAGCCTTCAGAGGCCTTAACTGAGCTGAAGAGTTTCATTCAATCAGAATGTAATGGAGCTTTCTAAAATATCAACGTAACATGCCACTATTGAGTTAAGAATTAGATTTTTAGTTTTCATCATGAACTGACATAAACTAGAATGCCAAAATTCTATTTAGTCAAACGGTTGAATGAATTTCGCGCCAAGACTTTTTGTCTTAAATCTGATTGGTTCATTCATAAATTATTATCTCATCGCATTTAGATAATTCCATATTGGATTGAAATGAGTTATTAGCCTTTTTATCAAACTATATTTATATAAAATAAATAGGGCAATTCATTGTTTAACTTAAATTTTTGTACATAAACATTCATGTATTTATCAGTGTTCTATCATAAAACAAAGAGAATTTGATAATATAAGACAAATGAAAAGCAGAATGTTAATATGAACAACAGTTTTATGCTAATATTTACATAAATGTAATCAAACTAGAATTGATAAAACACTATGAACATGTAGAGAATTTGATCTAAAAACTGTTCACAATTGAACATGTCTCTTTTTCCAAATAATGATGTGAGTTAGTAACTCACTGATGAAGACGATGGTGGATGTGTCACTCGATTTCATGGATTAGTTGAAGTTAGACATTAATATTGTTGGATGTCGCCAGGATCAGTTGTCTAGTGGTTAAGCGCTTGTGCGTAAGACTGATAGGTCCTGTGTTCGAATCTCACTAGGCGGGATCATGAATGAGCACTGCTGAGGAGTCCAACATCAGGACGAAACGGCCGTCTATCTAGGACGTCCATGATGGTCTAGCTTTAATTAACTCATGATCTCAACCACTGAACTTACTCTAATATCCACAAAAAACCCTTGTGTGATGAAAAACTATCTATAGAATTGTGGTATGTGCTGCTTATATCGATATAAGTACTGTATAACACTAGTCAAGAATAGAATTGAGAAGATCAAGAATAGAAGAATGGGAACAGAAAGAAGTTGGTAAGAAAATATAGGAACAATGAAGTGTGAAACGATTGAGTGATATTTGCAGAAGGAGCAGTAAAGTTTGAGACAATTGATTGACATTTTGCAAATGATGTATTTACTGTATGGTTCTTAGATTTTACTAAGAGACTGTAATTTCTTGCTGAAATACATTCGACCCTCCCCAATTGTATTCTCGTTCACTACAGAATGAGTAATTCGACTATGGATCATCATTGTCGTTAGTCCATAGTAAATCTTTCATTCAAACTATGTCAAAAAGTTAGACATCAATTAATCCATCAGTACTTAATGATTATAAGAGCGGTTAGAAATTGAATCATTTGAAGAAATCATTATATCATTCCTAAATAATTGAAGTATAGTATAAGAGAAGAGTGAACAACAATTGGATAGAACTAGAAAGGAAGATCTAGGACAGAGTGGGCTGGAGAATGCTTGCCGTCGGCCTATGCTCTACTGGGAGTAACAGGCGAAAGTAAATAAGTATCGTATAAAGCAGTTGTATATGTTTTAATAATTAGTACAGAAAACTAAACAAATATCAGTGTAGTAAACGAGAATACAAGTGGGGACAATCGGATGTATTTCAGAACGAAATTACACAATTTCTTAGTAAAATCTGAGAACCATCTAGTAAATATTTTATTTGCGAAATATCCATCAAATGTCTCAGATTTCATTGTTCATTCGTGTCCCTATCAATTATTCTCTGTTCTCGTTCGCTTTTCTTCGATCTTCTTAATCTTTTACCACCAGTCATTTCAAATTCGATTGGTGATATATACTACTGATATCTGTCGACATCAGTAGCAGACACTACACCAGTAATCATTCGAACTTGGTTTAATTAATATGTATATAGTTGCCCTTTATCTGACTCCAATTAAATCGTGTGATCATCGTTATTGAAACACAAATGTCATCTATCCTCGCATGTGAATATTGACGTGCGTTAGCGAATGAATCAATTAAATTTCGAATACGTATACTTCATACATTCATTGATCTGGACAGACAATGAGAGAGGCGTAGCTAAGGCAAAGAAGCGAAACTAAACGACTCGCAGTAGAGATGGCATGAAAGCCGACTCTATTTAATCAAGCGCGAACCGATATTTATAGTCAGATAAAAATAAATTACAGTAATGTGATGAATAAAATCAAAAATGCACATACATAGACTTACATAAAAACACTCAAGATTGATAAGCGAAGAAGTGACAGGGTAAAAACGTGGCTTGAGAAGAACCATTAGAATGATAAGGCCAGATGCTAGGATAACATATATGGGCTTGATATAATACGAGTCCCTGCAACTGGTACAATTCTAACTATTAAATATTAGTATCAGAGGTGGTTTTTGTGGATATTATAGTAATTTTAATAGTTTAGATCATGAGACAATAGAAGTTAGAACACCATGAAGAACCATAAAACACTGGATGGCCGTTTCGTCCTATTGTGGGACTCCTCAGTAGTGCGCATCCATGATTGCGCCTCGAGTGATTCGAATTAATTAACAAGTGTTAAGAAACTGTAGTATATTTTTTTCATATGAGTTTAAATTATAATCTATTTTTAACATAGAAATTGTTGACATATGTTTTATCATTCGTAAATTACAACTAATTAACTTATGCAACTCTTCTTTTTTATTATTAC